AAGGGGTTCGGCCGTCTGCATGAATCTTGGGGGTGAGTATGACCCTGGACGTATCCTGCACACATAGGACTTCCTTTTTCTAGCTTCTCAGGAAGCCAGTAAAGGAGCCGTGATGGCAGAGTGGTTACACATTGGGCTGTGATCCTCAAAGCCAGCAGTTCGAAACCACCAGCAGGGGAGAGAGATGGGTCTTTTAGCTCCCGTAAAGAGGTGCAGTCTTGGAAACTCAGAGGGGGCAGTTCTGCCCTGCCCTGTAGGGTCACTATGAGTTGGCATTGACTCAGTGACTGTAATTTTTTTTATTTTGGAGGAAGCCAGTCATCTCTGCTCAGTCGCCTTGAGCTCCTCTTCCACAAGAAAGCATCTCCTTCATTGCTGGTGTCGCCAGTTGTGGCTGTGACTTAGTGGCCTTGAGACAACTGTCCACCTCCTCTGGGTTTCAGTGTCCCAGCTGGGGACGTTGGGCTCACTGATTTCTAAGATACTCTCAAGTACCAAAGCACGAGACCTTTATGACTGCCAGTTCCTCCAAAGATGGGGAAGAGGGTCATATTTGGGGGGAAGGGCTCCTTTGAGTCCCCCAGACACTGGAGAAGAGACACCGTGAGGACTCTTCCCTTGGTGATCCCCTTCAGACCACACCACTGCTGTGTTCTCTGTGCCACGTCGCCCACTTCGTCGGCAGGGTCCAGGAAGAGGGCTGGGGACGGAAGCCTATTTCTCCCTTTCCTCCCAGTTAGGAGACCTCTGAAGAGGATCCGGTTTTCTTTTTTTCCCCAAAGCAAGTGATACACCCATGGGGTCCGGAGCCAGACTGGAGCAACTCTGGGTGGGAGGCACCACGTGAGACCCCAATCGGGCTGAGGAAGAGGGTCACAAGTCACGCCGCAACACGTTCCTGCCTGCTCCTTTGGTCAATTTCTGACTTGATCTTCCGGCCTAGAGCTTGCATTCCATTAGTGTAGGAGGAAGCACACTTTGAGGAGGAGATGCGCCTGGCCTGTACAGCCACACCTAGCTGTGACTGCCACCCGGGAGGGGACCGTGTCTCTGGTGGATCATGTGGACACGCCTTTGACAGACGTGAGCGTTGTCTTGGATTTGTTTTATCGAGGCCTTGGTGACTCAAACAAAGCTCCTTGAACCAAACACCTGCTCTTCCGTTCATCCAGCTACCAGCCCAGTGTCCACTTTCCCACGTCTGTCCATTCACACAAACATCTATTTTTCCATCCTTTGGGGCCCTTCAGAGCATCCAGACTTCCTTCCTTCCTTCTCTCCCTTCCCACCTGTCCATCCAACTGTCCATCTGAATGCTGCTCTTCCATTTGTCCATCCATACATCCAAGTCAACTATTATCCATCCGTCCGTCCATCTGTCCATCCGTCCGTCCGTCCTTCCTTCCTCCTTTGCTTCCTTCTGAACTGTGTCTGATGTTAGAATTTGGCTCTCTCTCAGCCTCACACGTCAGTGTGTTGCAGTGAGCCAATGAGCCAGTGTTGCTGCAGACACCTTCACTGGTTGTTCTGAGACACTGACTAAGCACCTACACCGTGTCGGGAGATAGGAATGCATGACTTGCTCCCTGCTCACGGCGATCTCACACTGAGCTGAGAGTCCATTCATCAGCTCCACCACCACTCCCTCCCGCCTTTTTGACTTGACTCCACGGCATCGTTTGTCATTTCAGGAATTGGAGTTCATAGCACGAAGGCCAGAGGCTGAATGTAGACTTGTGCTGCGAGGAGCTCCCTGCAGGACACAGTGCCTCCTCGGTCCTCCAGATTGCATCAGCATGAGCAGCACGCCCAACTTTTGTTAGTTATGATTTTGGGAACTAGGTTCTCGTTTAAGTAATGCTTATGGAATAGATTTCCATGGGTGAATCTTATTACCCCAGATGATATGGGTTCAAATCCAACCTACTGCAGAAGATGCAAATAGCTGCTTTAAGAGAGGGGCTCTCATGTACACTGGTACAGATAAGAGATTGCAACACGGGGAATCCAGGACAGATAAAAACCCCTCAGGACCAATTATGAGAATAGAGATACGAGGAGGGTAGGGGGAAGGTGGGGTAAAAAAGGGGGAACCGATCACAATGATCAATATATAACCCTTTCCCAAGGGGACAGACAGCAGAAAAGTGGGTGAAGGGAGGCAGCAGTTGGTGTAAGACATGGAAAAAAAAATTTATAAAATTATCAAGGGTTCATGAAGGAGAGAGGGTGGGGGAGGGAGAAGAAAATGAGAAGCTGATACCAAGGGTTCAAGTAGAAAGCAAATGTTTTGAGAATAATGATGGCAATAAATATACAAATGTGCTTGACACAATGGATATATGTATGGATTGTGATAAGAGCTGTAAGAGCCCCTACTAAAGTGATGAGAGAGAGGGGGGGGGGTGGGGGAGGCAGGCGCTCCCTGGCCAACTGTCGGGATGTTGGCCACCGTCTCGCCCACCTTGGAGGATGACTCAGCAGGTGAGCGCGTGCAAGGCTCTGAGAAGGCCTGCCTTGAAGAAACCCACTTCACTTTGACTCAGCAATTTCCAGTGCTTATTAGCACGGAGAATTTCCCCCCTCTTCTCATAAAATCATTTAATATCCCTCAGAACCAGTGTTCCATGAAACACCCTGGAAACCCTTGTGGAAAGGATTTGTTTCCGCCCCAGATGGCCCAGTGGCCCATGTAGGTGGTACAGAGTGGTACCGAGTTCTGTGTGGCCCAACTTGTTGGCCCCAAAGCGCACTCTGCCCCAGGCAAGGGGAGTGCACTGTGAGGGCAGCCCTCTGGTCGGGGTTGGGATGAGTTCCGTACGATCCAAGCTGTCTGTTGACTGAGAGGTGGAGGGTCTGGTTGGGAAGGTGAGTCTCTGGGTTCTTCTCCAGTGACTCACAAGCTCGGACATGGCCTCAGCCTCCTGTGTTAGGACAACTATTTAAGCCACCTTGGTTTTCAGACAGATGAGAAGATGCGTCTGAGATGGCCAGCGACCTGTGGGGAGAGCTTCAGAAGGGGACTAGTTTTTCCTGACAACATGCCCAAAGTATGGAAGAGGAAGTCCCACCCTTCTCGTTTCTGAGGAACATTCTGGCTGTGATCTTTTGGAGATACGTTGCTTGTTCTCTGGCAGTGCATAGTATGTTCAGTGTTGTTGGCCAACGTCATCATTCAAAGACAGCCAGCATTGGGGAATTCAGGGTATTTTGAAATAGCCTTTGGTTGGAGTTGGACGAAGCACATTAGAACACATAATGTACAATAATGATACCATTTGTCTTGAAAGAAAGATATGGAGACACTTAGAGAAAACAGCTAAGATTACGGCAATTCATAGTTCTGTGTTTGTTTGCTCTTGGCCAGTTTTCTACAGATCATTCTCTCTGGGAAAAACATACAATGTACATACCTATATAAGGGAGCTCTCTAAGTCCGCACTTGATGTGCATGTTGATTCCGTTCTGATTTACAGCAACCCCACGTTCAACAGAAGGGAACTCTGCCTGGCCCCACGCCGTCTGCCCAACCTCTCCTGTGCATGCGCCCGCGGTTGCAGCCGTGTGTCAGTCCATCTGGTCAAAGGACCGCTCTACTGAGCAACATACCTTTTCCAGGCACCCGTCGTTCCTCATAACAGGCCGAAGCACGTGAGGCCGTCCCTCCATCCTTACTCCACAGGAGCATTCTGGCTGCACACTGACACATCTGGTCATTCTTCTGGTGGTCTGTGGGATATTCAGCATTTTCCACCAAACACCACCGTTCAGAGGCATCCATTCTCCGCTGGCCCTCCTGATTCATTGTGCTTATTCCTTACTCCCTCTCACGTGCAGCTGAGGCGACGGAGAACCACATGGCGTGAGTCAGGTGCACCAGAGTCCTCAAAGTGACACCTTTGCTTTTAAACACTTTAAAGAAACAGTTTCCCAGTGTGGTTGGATTTCGTAACTGTTGCTTCTGTGGACTTTGATTAAAGAGCCGAGTAAAAGGAAACCCTTGGCAGCGTCAGTCGTTGGCGTTTGTCCTGATGCTGCTCACTGGCCGGTTGTGACGCTGTTTGCTGTCGTGTTGAGGTGTAATCCATACAGAAGGCTGTGGTCTTTGCTCTTCATCACTAAGTGTTGTAAGCTCCTCTGGGCTTTCAGCAAGTGAGGTTGGACCATCTGATCCCCACAGGGTGCGTGCGGGAGCCTTCCTCCATCCCCCTGCTGTGGGCTCCTTCCTGTCACCCAGGTTTGGGATTATTTGCTCTGTATACTGGTGAAGGGACGCAGCTCCACGGCACACGTTCCCTGGTTTTCGCCACACAGCGTCCCGTGGCTTGTTTGGGTCAAGCGATGTTCTGGTTTATTTACAGATTCCCCATAAGCCCAGTGAGGGTTCCAGAATTCCCTCTCTTCACAATGTTATCTATTATTTGTCTTGAATCTTAATTCTCATACGCAAATACACAGAAATGCAATTTACAGATAAACGTATAGGCTATATAATTTACCTGAATATCAGCCAAGGCACCTAATTTTACCAGAAAAACTGCATAAAAATGTGCTGAAAAACTCGGCTTATACTCACGTACATATGGTATATGTAAATGTAAGATAGGTAAATACATACTTTACATGTATATGTATCAAGTCATGCAGTCACGGCCATTGAGGCCATTCTGACTCACAGTGCCCCAGTAGGACAGAGTAGAACTGCCCTTGTGGGTTCTGGGACTGTCAGTGTTTCCAGGAGCAGAGAGCCTCGTCTTTCTCCTGAGCAGTGGCTGGTGGCTTTGAACTGCTGACCTTGTCAACCCACACTCCACCATCAAGGCCCCATATCATAAATAAGCTATAAAGAAATACATTTCCCCATGCTCCTTACAGAAATGTCAAACATCATATGGGAATCATGAGAACTGTCAGGTTGGGTGGGTGGGTGGGGGTTCCTTGTCTTTAAGTCTGGGCTTTGAATCCCACCCTCACAGCCTGTCACTGTTTTATGTTTCCAGATGGGCAGCAGATTTGGGAGATGGAAGCCACAGTGGACAAAGACAAGAGCCAGCCTGTAAGCACACGGAGTGGGGGTTCTAAGCACCACTGCCTTCTGCCTTCCCCCACCCTTCACTCCCTCACTGAAGTAGGGACCCGCGGGCACTCAGTAAGCTCATGTTGAATGATGAATCAATTAAGGCACACCCACCAGGTGCCCACTCTCCCCACACCCCATTGGTAGCAAGGTCCTCACAGTAACTTGGACAGAGTGGCTGTCACAGCTGAGATGCCCTGTGCCCACTTGCCAGTGGAGGGATGGGAGGGGGCAGGGCTCCCTGGAGATGAGCTGACCAGAGGAAGGTGGGCCTCGTCACAGTCAGCAATTCCTTCCTTCCAGAACATGCTCTTTGTTGAGATTCCCGAGTACCGGAATAAGCACGCCCGCGCCTCTGTGAAGGTGAATTTCTACGTCATCAACGGGAAGAGGAAACGAAGCCAGCCGCAGCACTTTACCTACCACCCAGGTAAGGCGGGTTCTCGAAAGGAAGCTGCAGCCCCGGATACTTCCCCCCACCCAACTCACCCCGAGATCCGAGATGCCACCCCAGCTGTGCCTTTTTGATCAAGCAGCCGATCTCTGCGAGCCTCGGCGCCTTCTCCTGTCGGATGGGGTTGATCACAGCTGCGTCCCAGGAAGACTCAGAGCACCCAGTGCTTAGCGTGTGCAGACATGTGAAGCTGATATAAAGTTGGCTGTGGTGGGGGTGGTGGTTAGGCGGCTGTCAAGCCAATTCTCAGTGACCCCAGGTGACAGAGAACTGCCCCATAGGATTTCCTGGGCTTCGAGGTATTGGACTATTCTCCCATGCTAACAGCAGCTTAGTGCTTAACCTTCATACCACCAGGGCTCCTTTATGATACAGGTGGCAGGTGGGCAAGTTGTAAACACCTGTGGCCTGTGGCTAAAGCTGCACCAAATGGAGCCACGGGTAGTGGTGATGATGGTGGATGGGGGTCACCATGCTGGCCCTGGAGATGCGAGAGCCGACATGCTAACACGGAGACTGCGTGGTGGGTCAGCGTCTCGTGACGGAGAGGCAGGATGGATAGACCACTGAGACACCAGGGCTGGGAGGAGGCTCCGGCTGGTTTGAGAAATAATTTGGCCCTGAGTTCTGCCCAGGCCGAGCCAGACCCACCAGCCACCTTTCCAGACATGGGAACCTTGTCATTCCTAGCCTCCCTTTGCAGCTGCTCAAGCCTTGGCCCAGGAAATCCTGTCATGGGTGAGTGCTGGCCCATGGCTGTCCACTGCCCTGGGACCCATGCGCCCTGCTTATCGGGCATCTGGGGTGGCCAAGGCTGAGGGGACCTGGAACTGTGGGGACAGAGCATCACAAGAGAACCCCGGCCTGCAGGTTTGGCCCTTGTCTCAAGTGGCGGTTTCCAGTGAGCTTTTACAGCACGCTCTGCTCTCGCTTTGGTAAGGACACCAGCCTGGCTCTGGGCTGTCTGGCCGGGCCAGATTTCCATGGGTGGGTGTCAGACTGAGCCTCCTGCATCCTCCCCGCACCGCCTTCCTCCTCCCCAGCCCCCACCCCCAACTCAGTTACAGCTCTGTCACCAACTCATTTTCTCCAGTGAGGGGGATTGCCCAGGCCGGCACTCCCCGGGCCAGTCTGATGACCAGTGCAGGGCCGAGCAGATCCCTGGCAGTAGTGATAACAACGCTGATCCAATACTAGCGGTAACAGCAGTAACCACAGCAAGCACTGAGCCTACAGTCACGCCACACCTTGCACAAGCATCTCATGTAGTACCCCACCCCACCGGAAGTAGATAGGATGGTCACGAGGCAACAGAGGAGGAAACTGAGGCCCAAGCCCAGGCCGTTTCATGGTACCACAGTACCCGGGAGGTGACAGTCATCACTTGGTCCCTCATTCATTCAGCCACTCATTTACTCATTTGTTCACAAGATATCTATCTACTCCTCAGCTGTGTAGCAGATGTTTGTCCAGGCCTGGACGAGACAGACAGATGGACCCTTGTCCTAAAGGAGGTGACACCCCAGTGGGACTGGGGCCTGATATAAGAAATACCCACCTCAAATATAACATGTCAGAACTCAAACTCAAATTCGCTGTCATTGAATCAGTGTCTGTAGGGCAGCGTAGAACTGCCCCATGTGAGTTTCTGAGACTGTAACTGCGGGGATAGAAAGCAGGAGGCTCTTTCTCCCATTATATGTCAAGTGATCATCGAAAACAAGACCCACTGCTACCAAGTCGATTCCGGCTCGTAGGGTTTCTGAGACTACAAGTCTTTCTGGGAACAGGCAGCCTCATCTTTCTCCCAAGAAGCTGCTGGGGGTGTTGAGTCACCGACCTTGGGGTGCGCACCCCAGTGCTTACTCTACAGGGCCCTCAGGGCTCCTGCGGATGGCGATAAGTGTTATTAACAAAAGGTAGCAGGCAAGAGCAGGGGCAGGGACTGCCAAGGGAGTCAGGAGGTATAACTGGAAATAGCAGCTTCTCCTCCTAGCCCGCCACACGTGTGCAAGGGCCGGGCGGATGGCCTGACCAGGCCCCTACCTGGGACTGGACAGTGATCGCTGAAGACCATCCTGCAGGGTGCAGCCTCCCAGGGAGTCTCCTGCCCAGAGCTCCAGTGGTTGGATCCCAGCCTCGGACCCAAGTCCACCTTCCTCACCGCTGCCCGCGCCTCCTCTTGGCCTGCGTGCGGGCACAGCAGCGACCTGCCCGTGTGCTTTCTCTCCCCTCGCAGTTCCGGCCATCAAGACGGAGCCCTCGGATGAGTATGACCCCACCTTGCTCTGCAGCCCCGCCCACGGCGGCCTGGGAAGTCAGCCTTACTACCCACAGCACCCGATGGCCGCGGGGTCACCCTCCTGCCTTGTGGCCACCCTGGCTCCCTGCCAGCAGTTCCGTTCGGGGCTCTCGTCCCCCGACGCCTGCTACCAGCAGCAGAATCCAGCGGCTGTCCTGTACCAGCGCAGCAAGAGCCTGAGCCCCAGCCTGCTGGGCTACCAGCAGCCGGCTCTCATGACCGCCCCTCTGTCCATCGCGGACGCCCACCGCTCCGTGCTGGTGCACACGGGCTCCCAGGGCCAGGGCGAAGCCCTGCTGCACCCCACCCCGGCCGCTCAGCAGGCCTCGCCCGTGATCCACTACTCACCCACCAATCAGCACCTGCGCTGCGGCAGCCACCAGGAGTTCCAGCGCATCATGTGCTGTGAGAATTTCCCATCAGGCCCTGTCAGGCCCAGCCAATCCCCGGCCAGCCAAGGGCAGAGGCTGAGCCCCGGTTCCTACCCCACGGTCATTCAGCAGCAGAATGCCAGCAGTCAAAGAGCCGCCAAAAATGGACCCCCAGTCAGTGACCCAAAGGAAGCATTGCCCACGGGAGTGACAATCAAACAGGAGCAGAATCTGGACCAGACCTACTTGGATGACGGTGAGCTTGCGCATTTTCCTCAGTGCCCGTAGGGAGGGCGCCCAAAACCTCCACCCAGGAACCTGGCTTAATGGCCTCTGGACGGTCCTCAGCCTCTTTGGGCCTCAGTTTCCCCTTCCTTAAGGATGTGGACTAAGATGACCACTAAGGCCTCACTCAGTTCTGGGCAAGAATAATTTTCCAGCAGGAGGAGGGTGGGATGATAACAATCTTAGCTGTTCTGCCCACGTGTGCCCCCTGCTCCCCTCTCCCCCGCCCCATCTACAGAGAAAAGCCAGTGAGGACTGCGGCACTCTCTTCCCGGTGGCTGCATTTAGAACCGAGAGAGGAAATCTGAAAGGAAGGGAAGCCCCCCTGTTATTCACAGAGAGGGGCTTCCCACTCTAGGGTTCTCTGATGTGTATCTTGGGGATGGGGGGAGGATACGGAAGCAGAAGCTCATTGAGAAGGGCGTGTGAATGGGTGGCTTGCGGCCTCTGCCAGGGGAGAGGCTTCCGCTGTGGTGAACCCAGCTGATGGGGTGGGTGGGTCCAGAGGGGGCGCTGAGAGAGTGTGAGTCTGAGGTGCCCACTCTGGTCGGTGCATGGCCAGCCAAAGAGGAGCTTGGAGCTGCTGTGGGTGGTGTCAGGTGCCGACCTCAAAGGGCATGCCAGCTGTGTTGGAGATGCGACCTGGAGGGCAGAAGTGCAGGTGGCAGAGCATTTTCCCCTGGTGTGTGTGTGTGGTGGAAGGGGGTTGGTGCAGAAGAAGATGGCAGGTGCTCGGAGTTATTTTTGACAGGAGAAACCTGTATCCCCAACCACCATCTGCAGGCCCAGCTTTGCGTTTTATAGGCTGTCGCATCGAATGTACCCTGAAACCTCAATTATTCAGGAAAGTGACGTCGCGGGAACCCAGCCAAGGAATCGGAAGCCAGGCCCAGTGCAGTTGACATAAAAAGAACAGGTGCTAAGGTGCTGAGGTGCCCATACTTGGGGTACAGGGGACCCCTGAGGGTGTGCTTAGTGGCTTTTGGCTGGCACTGCCCTCAGACTTGTGGTGAGCCCAGCCCTTGTGTGTGTGTGTGTATGTGTGTGTGTGTGTGTGTGTGTGTGTATGTGTATGTGTGACTTCCAGAAGTTTCCATGTCCCCTCTCTGGTAGAGCTGGCAGCAAAAACTTCAGCACACTCGCGAGGCACGGTGAGTTGGCCCACTTGGCGCAGTGTGAAAACAGCCCACGTGCTGGCTGGCCCCGGCCTTGGGGTAATGGTGTGTTAATAATTGATCCCTCTAGCCTGGAGTGGCCACACACTGGCCGAGTTAGGGTCACCGTGCCCTGCTTTGAAAGGGAGACCGACGCGCAGTGCAGCCTGGAACAATCCCTGGTCAGGAGCGTCTGAATCAAGTTCCAGTGCTTGCTCAGTGGTCAGGGGTTTGGCCACGTAGACAGCATGGTGGCTGCAGACTGCCTTGTGCCCGTGGGTTAAGGCGGAGTGACTGTCAGCAGATCCCTCTCGGCTCCTCATGGCTGGGCAGGGCAGGTTCTGTCCCCAGCAGACTGCAGCAGCCAGGTTGGTCAAGATGCGCTGGGCCCCTCCCACCCTGTCATTACCCCACAGAACTGTGAGTCCCTTAGGGAGAGTAGCGGCCCATCCCCTAGACCGACATCCAAGAAGGCAACTCCCTTCATTGTCTGGTGCCATTGCCTGGTGCCACAGAGGCGTCCGTTGGTCACACCGAAGCTTCTCTCATGCAGAAAGTTGTCACCGAGGTGGAGGCCATTCTGGGTCTTCTCGCGGGGAGCATCGCCTCCCGCCAGCCAGGAACAGGAAGCTGGTCTGAGGATGTCTGGGATGCGGCCACGCAGCTCCAGCTGAGGAAACCTCTTCCAGATTCTGTTCCCCAAACCCCAGTCCCATGAGATGTTAAGAGGACGGTTCTGAAAGGGAGGCCCCATGGCTCAAGAAAGCTGACCAAACTCTAGGCCGGACCCGGTCCTCTGAAAGCATGGTCACTGTGGGCCTTCTCGGAGCTTCGCTGTGCTTGCGGGCAAATCTAAAGCGAGGGGCCTCGCTGCCTGCTCACTGGAGTTCCGAGGAGGGAGTGCCTGCACAACTCCAGGGGGCGCTGTGTGCAACCCCTCTCACTGTGTGTCTGAGCCAGCCGAGCCCCTGGGGTGGGCGGCCTGCAGGCCTCAGCCCCCCCATGTCCCTCCCGTGTGGAAGCTTGTAGTAAGTGTATTACATTTAATACAAGATGTTCATTCTCGGGCTTCTGAAGTCTTGGCCATCCTGTTCTGGGCCCCGGGCAGGGCAGGGCATTTTGGAATCCTTTCTCCCTGCAAGCCGCCCACATGGCAGCCATATTGCTGCTCCGATGTTCAGCATGAAACTGGCCTTTTCTCGAAGGCTTTTCCCAGCCCAGGTTCCCCCATCGGGGTGACCCTGTGGCCTGTCTTGCCCAGTGGGAAGCCCCCAAGGGCACCCTCAGCGGTAGCCCCCTGGAAGTCGGGCTTAGCATTGGCCTCCATTCCTGGGATGCTCAGGGCCTCCTAGCAGAAGCCACTGGTCTGTGTGTGCGAGCACAGTGCTCCCCGTCAGCTGTGGGTGTGGGCTCATGCGGCTTGGTGTCCTGTGCTTGCTTCTGGCTGGTGACCTGGACATCCCGGGCTGTGGCCCTTATGTCTGGGTGGGAGGGAGAAAGTCTTGGCTTTGAAGGTCCTTTTCTGTCTCTCTTGTGCCTCATTTAAAGGCATGTCTCTCACCAAATGTGTATTTGGTGGCACAGAGCACCAAACACATATTGGGCTGCTAACCACAAGGTCAGCAGTTCAAAACCACCAGCTGCTCTGAGGGAGAAAGAGGTAGCGTTTGACTCCTGTAAAGAGTTACACTCTCAGAAACCCACAGGGGCAGTTCCGTCCTGTTCTGTAGGGTCACTGTGAGTTAGATTAGAACGGGCTCGTGTGTGTGTGTTTCTCAGGAGGTGTCCTGGTGGCACCGAGGGGTTAAGTGTTGGCTTGCTAACAAAGGTTGGCCTTTCTAAACCACCAGCCTCTCCTCCAGAGAAAAGTGAGGCAGTCGCTTTCCGAAAGATTTTTTTTAAGAGACTAATTACTGTGTTTTTAGAAAGATCTTTCATCTCTAACCTGCTGTAATTAAAAACATTTCCCCCCCTCCTTTTCACAAATCTCCAATAACGGTTTTGTCTGCTGAGCAACATCTACGTCCTCCCACAGTGAGGGTGATGAATGAGGTCTGTCATGGCTGGATGTCCACTGGGAGCTGAGAGTTTTCGTCTCTTTAGGGCCTGTGTGTTCGGTTTGCGATCGTGAAAGCTAGGGGCTTGCTTAAAGCAATTTCCACATTAGGAAGTCCACATTGCCTTTTGAAATATCTTCTAGTACGGAGTCATGCTTAACCACGTCTAGTAAAATCTGTCCTCTGCGAATACGTAATGCGTAGTTACCCCAGAAGAGTGACATCGGCCCACTTCACTGTCAAGGCTCATATAAGTCGGGTTTCTGTGAGATGAGTCTCGGAAACCCGAGGGAGCAGTTCTCCGGGGCCCTGTAGGCGGGGCTGGATGGCAGTAGGCTTGTGGTGGTGGCTTTTTGGGGGGGAGATAGACATTCGCCTATAAGAAAGTAAGCTGGGGGGAAGCTATGAAGGACAAGAAAAAAGGGCAGGGGCTACAGTGGGCCAGGGCGAGGACGGGCGAGGGGACAGCCAGGCCCGTCTGAAGAGCACATTCCTGCCCATTAGGGCAGGAGCCCACCATGGAGAGAGGGGAGGGATGGATGTTTTAGGAAGAGGGAGTGGCCGTGGTAGAGGCAGTGAGGTTAGGGAAGTAGATGCGGGGTTGGGGCTGATCAGAGTGCAGGCAGCGGTGGGAGCTTTGGGCAGGAGAGGGCAGTGTGACATGAGATGAGGGGACGGATCATAAGGAGCTAAGGGTCAGAAGCAGGGAGATTCATTCGTTCACTGGGACTTTTTTTTAGGAGGTGGGAAGGATGAGTTTTCCTTCCCTGTAGACAAAGCTAGGTGTGGGAAACTCAGAGGCAGGAGCCTGTGGTGAGGCCGAGCCCTTTACAAAGGGTGCACCTTATGCATCTGCTCACCAGTCAGTCAGTTTACTTAAAATGTTGCTGGGTTTCGATGTACGCGGGAGTTCTTAACCGCTCCCACGGTGTGTAACAGAGGGCAGCTGCAGCTTTGCACCTGGGCGTGGAGAAGGTGGGGAAGCGCTGGCCACGTGGGATAGAGGCAAGCTGGATAGGTGCTGGGGAGGATGACCTCAGAAGCCACTCTCACTGGGTGCTGCTGGTGACACATTCTCAGGGTCTCGGTGGCTTGGCAGCTGAACTGACCTGGGGGTTTTCAGGTCACCGAGTCAGTGTGTCCCCACCACAAACCTACCAAAAACCTTGTTGTTATCCAGCGCTGCGGCAACAGCATACCACACGTGGGTGCTTTAAAAAAACTAAAGTGTCCCCTCTCCGTTCAGGAGGCTAGGGGCTGAATGCCCAGCGCCAGCTCGCAGGAACAGTTTTCTCTCTCCCTGTGGGCTCCCCGTTTTGGAGGCAGGTCCCTGGCTCCTGTCAGCATCCATGCGCATGGTGCTCCTTGGCGCTCTCCATGTGGCTTGTCATCCGTCTTTTCGTGGGTCTGGCAGGTTCCCAGCACAGAGGCCCCCCCGCCCACTCCTCCTGGCTCTTCTTTGGTGGTAGTCGATCCCCCTCTCCTCTGCTCACGCCTTCTTTTATCTCATGTAAGACGAAAGGTAAGGAGCCCTAGTGGCAAAATGAGTTATGCGTTGGGCTACTAAACTCAGGGTCAGCAGTTTGAACCCACTTCTCGGGAGGAGGAGGAGGAGGCTTTCTGCTCCCATAAAGATTCCCAGCCTCAGAAACTCACAGGGGCCGTTCTACTATGCCCATAGAGTCATTCGGAATCCGAATTAGCCAGATGGCAACCAGCTGGACTATTTGGAATATTAAATGTACTACAGGCCACACCCA